AACTGAAGACTTGACTCAACGCTCCCGACAACAACAGCCAAGTATTTCAATTCTAATTCCTCTGCTCCCAAGCTCACATCCTGGCAGGCTGGCATCTCAAAACTCAAGTGACTCAAATGATCTTCTTTGCCCTTTTTATAACCCCTTAGCATGGACCACGCAGAAAACACAGCCTCTCTACTGTTGAGAAGGCGTGTTTACAGCGCCACTGCATAGCAATAAAAGTTATTCAGTTGTTGCTTGCATATTTGTTGCCATGGGAATGTGTTTACTGAACAGTTGCCTAGCAAAGGACATCTCCTCTGATTTCACTATTCTAGCTTCCGGGCGTCATATCACAATATGAAAAACAGGGATGGGTTCATTCACACAGTTCTGGGGACAGAACCGAAGGACTCTGTCTCTAACATTCGCCGTGCCATGAACTTAGGTATGAAGCTTTTGTATCTTGGAGACTGAGACTCAAAGAACATCTTCATCACTCTCATTCAAATCTTGTGTGGGAAATGTAGCTAGTAAGATGTTTATAAGTTGCCACATAAAGTAAATTTCTGAGGAAATACAAACAGCAGAGAGAAATTAACCCTGGTTTCTAAATTGAAGTCCACTGTTTCTTTTTTGCATTCTAGTAAATTCTGAATTCAGCAGTATTAACATGACAGTTGACAAACTGCTCCCAGAATCTCACTTACAGCACAATCCTGATTATCCATGTACCCTTTTAGGTGCATCAGTAACCCTGCAGTATGTCTATTAAGTTCACTCAGTCAGCTCATCCAACTATGATATGCAGGAAAAAACTTGAGACCCAGTGAATGGACTTCCATGAAATTTGACACTGGAAAACTCTGTGAAATGTTGAGGCATCTCAATTTCCACTTATATCAGGCAATTTTAATAACATGCTGATCTACATGAGTTTCGGTAGGTATCTTGCATGTATTATTATTATTATTGGAGGGGGTGGGTTTCCCCATGCACCGCGACCAGTTTGGTCTATTGTATGTCCCCCTTTGAATATTCTACCAGTCTCTATACCCTACCGGTACTGGTGCGTACCATCAGCCCTGACTCAGCCAGCAAGTTCGGCCTCTACTGGCTCAGCGGTACCTATGATGCTTCCCCCATCTACCAGAGGCATTAGAAACTACTGTTGGGCGGGAAATGTCCTTCAATTTGGCTCAGAGGTCTCCTTGAGACATGAGGTTCTTTTACGTGTCGTAAAGCTACAACACGGGACCCACAGCTTAAAGTCCCTCCCGGAGGACCTGTTCCCTGAATTTTTCCGCCCTTAAAAGTTCCACGACCTCCACCAGGTTTGAATCCGCACACCTTGAGTCATGAGCCTATTAAATACTTATTGAAGATAAAAATGTTTCAAACAAAAGTAACAGACCAGAATGAAGCCTACATTTTATGCATGTTTCTGAACTTGTATTTTGTAACATTTATCATGTTTCAGAACAGATGTCTGATTGACAGCAGCCACTTATGATCTGGATATTGGCCTGTGTAGCCCACCACCATTTCACTGCGTGCCACTGCATTAGTCTCTTCTTGTCTTGCTTCATCACTGTGACCACTGAACTAACTTGCCATCTCCATGTACACACTGCTTCACATGTGCACACATGTTTGCACTATGGCTGCCTCTGGCTCACCTGTACAGGTACACCCAGCTCAGCCGCTTCCACAGACTGCTCTGCTGAACTTGAGAATGACTGGGTTATAATGCAAATGATGATTCAATGGTTTTCTTGAAGGAATAACAAGAAAGGAGGGGATATGGGGATTGTCGAACCTTTCAGAGAGAGGTGCATGCCAACCATCTGTGCCACTCCCTCCCCACTCCTCAGTCACTCTAGCAACAATATTCAACAATTACCATGGTCTCCTGCACACACATGTAACTTCGATTATCCACTTCTTTTTCATTATTCATGCACCATCTCCCCATTATCAGGTGAATAATCGGGACTTCACTGTATGTAACTATAAAATCTTTAAACTTAACTCAGTGGTGTAATCCACTACAGAGGAAGAGCCAATGATAATATCTTCATTTTACTTTTCTCTATGAAAACCAGTTCAGTCGTGCATGGATGATACACTGTGGGGACATCCCACATAGCATGCTATTTCCACCAGTCTTTTAGACAACACTCACTCCTTCGTGAATATCACACTGCCGGACGTCTCGTTCATATTTATACCACCACGCACTGCAAATTTCTGCTCCTCATTTTCGCTAGCCAATCAGCGCCCTGCAAATTCTTCCTCCTCAAAATCAAGTTTCGCTCCACCCACCGAGCAGTGTATAAAAAGGAGCAGCCGCAAACCGGCAGGATCAGTCTGACTTCAGTCTACGATCAAGCCACACTCAAGCAACATCAGCCAGCAGGCTTCGTCACCAGCGCTCGGTCTTCGGAGGCATCGGCAGGCTGCGCCAGGCACAACTGCCTCAGCCCTCCGGCTCTCACACCCCGACTCACTGGGGCACCTCGCCTGGATTCACCGGTGGTCGTGTCCCTGTCCAACTCACTGGGCATCTGGCATAGCCACTGCCTCATCACTCCTACGACTGCGCTGCGCGACCACGTAACTTAAACTCACCTGCCGCATGGCAATCAAGCAACCTCCAGCAACGGCCGCACTGTGGCCTGTCAAATCACCGCAACTAACCTCTCTCCCTACCAGCGCGCGCCGTGCTACCTCACCGGTCAAGCATCTCAGCAACCACGGTCCTTTTCAGGACCAACAAACTGTTCCGAAGAAGTGGGTTGTCATCGGAGTAATGACGAACAACAAAGACTAAACCCCACAACACAATGCATGACAATAACTTTCTGAATATGTGGAGACTTCTTCCATTATGAGTACACATTAAAGATTCTGAATCAGATACTATGTCTTACAAATCTTAATTATAGCCTACATGTGTTAAATCGATGCGCCTTGTGGGATAAATTATCAATAATTATTTTCTACAGCACTGAAACAAAAAAGGTATGCAACACAGTAATATTCAGGTTATGTCACAGAGATGGATGCCAACAGATTAAATTTATTTTACTGAAGACTCTCACTTTAATTCCTTCCCAACTTGTGGGAAAGCTAACGACTGAAAAAAAGTTTTGACATGCTGGACTTTTTCCAGACAGTCTTACTTTTTCAGTCATTTAACCCATTAGTATACTATTTGATTGTGTCTGCAAATTCTATAAAATTAATCCATACATTTCAAACAAATGCCATACAAGGATCACAAAAATTGCATATAGGTACATAAACAACACCTTTTTTTTCAATAAGTAAACTATGTCCACTTTCACCTGATGCTTGACACCCATCAAAGAATTTAATGTTCCCAAAATCGGTGGACAGACGTCCCACAGCCAACAACATGTACTATTGGGATTCCAAATCCATGTAGTGTGCCACTTAAAGAAGGGAACTGAGTACAAACAAAAGTACAAAGTAACTCAGAGAATGCCGATGCAGTAAATCAGCAAATTTAAGAGTGGTCACAGCTATGCTCATGGATATTCCCCAAGTTCAATGTTTCTTTCTTCTGCATACCCTAAATAAAGTCCACACTTAATTTAATTTAACTTTGTAAATCATGAGACAGATTTACAGATTTTGAAACCTATATATCAAAACCTTATTAACTACTGTATGTGCCCACGGCAAAATCTTATCTGAGTATGTCTATGCTATATATATGAAACTATGAACCACAAATGACTGCACTAGATACAGAAAATGCTTCCTGATAAATGAATGTCTCATATACTCAATAACTCTTCAGTAAATTAAAAACAACATGAAATGAACTAGCATTCATGTGACTCCTGGTCTTCTTCACAGTTTAAATTTTATAAGTGACTCAGTGAGTGACTCTCTGGTAACTCAAGTATAATTTTTGTTATAACAGCATTTGGGTTATTAATTTTTGTGGCATTTCACATCCACTCGACATTTCACCCTTAGATCCAATTCAGTACTATCATTTTACTCTTCTTCTGTCTTCCAAGTGTCCAAATTTCAAAGACATTTTCACATCCATTTTTCACTGTATATTACAAAATTATGAAAGTGAGTCTTCTGTCATTAGTATTTTAAGACTTTAAGACATTTCGTGGCTTTTACTCACAGTATTGCAAAACTGGTTACTGCTTTAAAAATGTACTCCTATATTTATACACAATAATCTCAAGTCAGAATCTGCTGTAATCTAGAACTACACAGTATACACAGAAAGAGGAGTACTTTGTAATGACAGCAAGATATGAATCTGTATTTTCCATCACTGCATAAACATAAATGAAAATAAAGCACAGCCTATTGTTTGTCAAGCTATTTAAATTCACCTTATCCTGATGTTATCAGCTCACAAGATTTGAATGCTTTTAAGAAGTATGTTCAGCATAGCAAAGGGTTCATACATTATTATTATTATTATTATTGGAGGGGGTGGGTTACCCCATGCACCGCAACCAGTGGTCTATTGTACGTCCCACTGTGATATTCTACCAGTCTCTATACCCTACCGATACTGGTGCGTGCCATCAGTCCTGACTCAGCCAGCGAGTTCGGCCTCTACTGGCTCAGCGGTATCTCTTGACGCTTCCCCCATCTACCAGAGGCGTTAGAGACTACTGTTGGGCGGGAAATGTCCTGAATTCAGAAAACAAGTCCTCCGGGATGGACTTTACGCTGTGGGTCCCGTGTCGTAGATTTACGGCACATAAGAGAACCTCATTTCTCTAGGAGACCTCTGAGCTAAATTTGGCCAAAAAGTTTCCCACCCAAAGTAGTTTCCAATGCCTCCGGTAGATGGAGAAGCATTAGGTACCACTGCCAGAGGAGGGGGGACCTCTCTGACAGAAAGGGACTAACTATTAGATACCACTGCCAGTAGAGGGTTGGAACCTCGCTGGCAGAAAGGGGCTGATAGTGAGCACCAGTACCGGTAGGGTATGGAGACAGTAGAAATTAAAAGGGGGGCGCACCATAGATCAAACTGGTCGCAGTGCATGAGGAAACCCACCCCCTCAGTACTGAATAACTGAAGTACAATTTATACAAATGGTGCAGCAAATGACAAAAATTACACAAATTACATATGATAATATGGTATCAAGCACCTCTGCTTTCATCATGTCCCACCTCTTGTTTATATCATATTTGCTGCTACGTATTACTGCAAAACCAACAGCCACCTGTTCACAAAAAACACCACCTTCAATCAAAACTAAATAAAGTTTATAGACTCAGCAGACAAATAATAACAAAGGTTCTTATTTTACCGACATAGATTCACTTTGATATTCCAAAATGAATATTCTCTTCTTTTAAATTGGTTACATTTATATAAACGGGGGTACGCAGTACATTAGTTGGTTGAGGCACTATGCTACAAGGCGGAAGGTCGCGGGTTCAAGTCCCGATGAGGTCACTGGATTTTTTTCAATTGACCTAATACTTCCAGCTGCACTATGGCCCTGGGGTTGACTCAGCCTCTTACAGAAATGAGTACCAGGAATTAAATAATTTTCCTGGAAAGTAAAGCGCGGCTGGCGCATTAGGCTGACAACCTTACCGCCATCTTTGAGCCGACTGTCTAGATAGTGTGGGACCCTCAACGTCTCAGAACCCTATGGGCCTTCATGGCCTGTTACAGGGATAGCTCTACTTTACTTACATTTATATAAACAGCAGTTCTTTCATACCGGGTGTTTTCTACCTGTAGGCTGTGACACACTAGCAGATTGTGAAAATGGAATTTAAAATCAATAAAGTGTTGGTATTTTGGAGAATTATGTGCTTCAAAATTCCTTGGTGTTCAGAGCAAAATGAAATACCTGTTTCAGGAGTCAAACTCTTGCACCCCAAAATGTATGTAGGGAAGTCAAAAATTATCCGCACGATTGTTTTTCCAATCCCTATATAGGAAAGTAGGGGTTGAACAAGTACTTCATCTTTCTACATAGCCTCCTCCCTTTTCAATGCACTTGGTCCAGCGGTCCAAAAGCTTGCGTATTCCCTCCACGAAGAAGGTTTCCGGTTGGTTGCGTAACCATTTATGCATCGCTTCACGCACTTCTTTGTCCATAGAAAATCAAAAACCTCGTAAAACATCTTTGAGCAGTCCAAAGAGATGATAGTCGGAAAGGGTGAGATCTGAGATGATAGTCGGAAAGGGTGAGATCTGGGCAGTAGACAGGGTGTTCCAGCACCTCGAAACACAAATGGTTAATGGTTTCAACGGTCTGGCCGTCCTTGTGTGAGTGTTCATTGTCATGCAACAACAATACTTTCTTTGATAATAGGCCTTGGCGTTTGGTGCCAATTGCTGGCTTCAGATTGTTGGCCAGCAAATCACTGTATCTTGCACTGTTGATTGTACACCCTTTTTCCAGGTAGTCTTCCAGTACGGGCCTTTTTGAGTCCCAGAAACGGTTAGCATCACCTTTCCCACGAAAGACTGAGTCTTGAATTTCATCTTCGTTTGCGATCCCGGGTGTTTCCACGCCATACTCTGGCTTTTGGATTCCGGCTCATAGTGATGAACCCACATATGAATTTCAGCCCCTGACACACCTTTCAATCAGAGAAATCGGATCACTATTCTTTGTTAATCATTGGTGCACATTGCTAGCAGAGTGGCCATGTTTACACTGTCACAGCATCAAGGAAAATGACGCGATCACAGTAATTCTTCAATCACGTGACCATAGTAGTACCAACTCTAACAATGCATGCGTAGGAGGCAGTGTGACAAACCTAAAGATGTGTTATGGAGAAAGTGCAGATAATTTCTGACTTACCCTTGTAAAAAGCAATAGACTCAATAAACAGCTTATTATTCATTCAGTTAAGAAATACATATCTGTTTCATTTGTATGTTTACCATTTATTGATAGTAGAAATATTTAATTTACTAAAGTCTATAGGCCGATCACAGTGGCCACATGTTCTAAGACATGAATTGTCTTCGCTCACTCGAATGCTGGGATTGTGGGTTAAATTCCCGCTGAAGATATGAATGAATGAATGTGTATGGTGTTAGGTGTGACAAAAGATTAAATATACAGAAGTGTCAGACTTTTGGTTCCCTCTGTACATTGCATTTCAGAGTAATATATTACACCACTCATTATAACTACATTTACCTGCAGAACTATGCTGAGTAACAGCAGACCAGTGCACACGGCCCCAAGAGTATTATATGGCCCTTTTTTATATATATATGTGCACTGGCTTATATTGGATGTAAGCAGCGCTAGGTTTATTGCAGTCTCTAGCACTGCTTTTGTCTTGTGATAATTTGTTAGGAGAGGCTGCCTTTGTTCGACCTGGACAAAACAAATGTGAACACAAAGTGTCAAGTTCATGATGCATTATACCTTTATCGGTGTGTCTTCTAATAGTTTGAACACACCTATTAGACATTAAAAGTAATCTGTTACAAGAAGCCATGGAAATTTACTATGGTTCTGGAAAATTTGCATAAGCATATGAAAAGAACACTTCACAATTTATCCATATACGCATGTAATTTATATTCCGTTCCAGTGACTGTAGTATTCTGCAGACAATTTACATAGACATCCTGGCACTTGAACATCCTAACTTCATACAAATTTTATTAATATTATACAATAGTATGATATTCTGATATATAATTCTCAAACCTTTCACATGAAACAACCAGTGTCAAACTTATCAAAATATTGATAGCAGCCCCATGCAGGCAACAAATCACAGACAGGGGTCCTGAGGACGTCAGTTTCATCTTTCCTGCACTATACATATCTTTCCTGGTGTATGTGCTTTTTTCCTTAAAAAAGGCCATAAAAATCATAATGCATCTAAGATATTTCTAAATTTTTCCTTCCTGAACCCTTATGCATTGGTGCATCTTATACACCAGGCGGTATGACACGCAAACGCAAATACACACACAACATATAAACACTTGTACCGTAAACTCATCTGAGCAGTAACTTGGTATGTGATTATGTACTGTGAGCCATGCACAGGACAACAGAATATATCAGAAGACTCCTGCTTTGGCAAGAAGTTCTCACGTGCATTATGTCTATACGTGTCCAGTCTCTAGGACATTCATACAAAGATTCAATTATGGTCAGTATTCATGAATGTCTATTCAGTACTTGTAGGGCAGATACCTATCTTTTTGAGCCAGAAAATTTCCAAAATGATTTCCATATAAAGTAGTATCATGCCATTCCAAACTTCTAGATTCAGTTTTTGTAATTAATGTATGTAACAGAGGGCAGGTTTGCTCAGGGCAGTGGCAGAAGAAATCTTAAAATATAAGTTAGATTTAGCGGGAGTACAAGAGGTCAGATGGGATGGAGGTGGCATCACACCAGCAGGAGACTATACATTTTTCTATGGAAAGGAGAATGAAAATAATGAATTAGGTACAGGCTTTTTCGTACATAAGAGAATCGTATCAGCAGTTAAGAAAGTAAATTGGCTAGCGCACATGATGATCTATAGGTGGGCTGGACATCGAGTGCTGGCCGCAATGTGACGTTAACTTGGCTTGAGCAGAAGAGCAGAAGGTGGATGCTGTCTGTTATACAGACGAAGCTGCGTGCTAGTATGAGAGGGATCCTACAGTTCATTGCATTTATCTCTCAGCCTTGTGAGATGCTATGAGCTGTGGGATCCCTCTCATACTAGCACGCAGCTTCGTCTGTATAACAGACAGCATCCACCTTCTGCTCTTCTGCTCAAGCCAAGTTAACGTCACATTGCGGCCAGCACTCGATGTCCAGCCCACCTATAGATCATCATGTGCGCTAGCCAATTTACTTTCTTAACTGCTGATACGATTCTCTTATGTACGAAAAAGCCTGTACCTAATTCATTATTTTCATTCTCCTTTCCATAGAAAAATGTATAGTCTCCTGCTGGTGTGATGCCACCTCCATCCCATCTGACCTCTTGTACTCCCGCTAAATCTAACTTATATTTTAAGATTTCTTCTGCCACTGCCCTGAGCAAACCTGCCCTCTGTTACATACATTAATTNGAGAGCAGTATTATGTTGAAATCTCAAATAGGTTCACAGCTTTAGAAAACTTGGAAACTGAGGTGGATGTTAATAAAGCTTGGGAAACTACTGGAGAGAATATAAAAATGTCTGCCAAAGAGAGTCTAGGTTATTATGAACCGAAGAAGCATAAGCCCTGGTTCGATGAAGGATGCTCAAAATTGTTAGATCAAAGAAAGCAGGCCAAATTGTAAAGGTTACAGGATCCAAGCGAGTTAAATGGGGATAATATGAACAATATAAGACGCAAAACTAGCAGGCATTTCAGGAACAAAAAGAGGCAATATCTAAAACACAAAATTGATGACCTTGCAATGAATAGTAAGAACAAGAATATTAGAGACCTGTATAGATGAATAAATGACTTTAAGAGGGGTTACCAGCCTAGCAGTAACTTAGTGAAGTGTGAGAATGGTGATCTGCTTGCAGATTCCCACAACATTTTGAATAGGTGGAGGAACTACTTCTCTCAGTTATTGACTGTACATAGGGTCAGTGCTGTTAGGCAGACAGAAATCCATACAGCTGAGCCGTTAATACCTGATCCTAGCCCTTTTGAGGTTGAAAGTGCCATTGCAAAATTGAAACGGTATAAATCACCAGGTAGTGATGAAATTCTGGCAGAACTTATTCATGCAGGAGGTGAAATATTACGTTCTAAGATCCACAATCTAATTACTTCTATTTGGCATAAGGAAAAATTGCCTAATCAGTGGAAGGGGTCTATTATTGTACCAGTTCACAAGAAGGGTGATAAAACTGACTGTAGTAATTATCGGGGGATATCACTGCTATCAACTCCATATAAAATTTTGTCCAATATTCTTCTCTCAAGGTTAAGTACATATATAGATGAAATTATTGGGCATCATCAGTGAGGGTTTCAATGTAAGAGATCAACTACTGATCAGATCTTTTGAATTCATCAGATACTGGAGAAGAAATGGGAGTACGATGAGACAGTACATCAGCTATTCATAGACTTCAAGAAAGCCTACAATTCAGTTAGGAGGGAATTACTGTACAATTTTCTAATAGAGTTTGGGATACCCATGAAACTAGTTAGGTTGACTAAAATGTGTTTAAACGAAACATATAGTAAAGTCCATATAGGTAAACATTTGTCTGATAAATTTCCTATCCAGAATGGTCTAAAACAAGGAGATGCCCTATCGCCACTCCCTTACAACTTTGCCTTAGAATATGCAATTAGGAAGGTCCAGGAAAACCAGGTGGGACTGAAATTAAATGGGACACATCAGCTGTTGGTCTACGCCGATGATGTGAAGCTACTGGGTGATAATGTAGATACCATAAAGAAAAACACACAAACTTTAATTGACGAAAGTAAAGAGGTTGGTCTAGAAGTAAACACAGAGAAAACTAAGTATACGTTACTGTCTCATCACCAAAATGCAGGGCAAAATCATGATATAAAGATAGGAAACAGATGTTTTGAAAATGTAGCACAGTTCAGATATTTTGAACAATGATAACAGATCGAAACCTGATTCAGGAGGAAATTAAGAGGCGATTGAACTCGGGTAATGCTTGCTATCATTCAGTCCGAACCTTTAGTCTTCTCGTCTGTTGTCCAAAAACATAAAAATTAGAATATACAAAACTATAATTTTGCCTGTGGTTCTGTGTGGGTGTGAAACTTGGTCTCTGACATTAAGGGAGGAACATAGACTGAGGGTGTTTGAGAACAGGGTGTTAAGGAGAATATTTGGACTGAAGAGGGATGAAGTGACAGGAGGTTGGAGAAAACTGCATAATGAGGAGCTTCATAACGTGTACTCTTCTCCAAGTATAATTAGAATGATCAAGTCAAGGAGGATGAGGTGGGCAGGTCATGTAGCACGAATGGGACAGACGAGGAATGCGTATAGAATATTGGTGAGAAAGCCAGAAGGAAAGAGACCACTGGGAAGACCAAGGCATAGGTGGGTGGACAATATTAGAATGGATCTTAGAGAGATAGGATGGGATGGTATGGATTGGATAGATCTGGTTCAGGATAGGGACCAGTGGAGGGCTCTTGTGAACACAGTAATGTACCTTTGGGTTCAATGAAATGCTGGGAAATTCTTGAGTAGCTGCGGCTCCTCCAGAAGGGCTCAGCTCCTTGAGTAAGTAATTAAGTAAGTAAGTAAGTAACTGACTAGGAATACACTTTAGACTGTCTTCTAAATAAACTGAACAGAATAGAATATATGAGGGTTTGTGGCAACAAAACATACATGATCAATTCTTGCTGGATCACTTTGTTCAGGATCCTGTTGTCCCGGTTCATTCGTTTCCGGATCATCGGGTTGAATGATCTCATGACAGAAGGTCAGATCTAAGAAGATGCTGAGGTGTAGATTCTGCAGTAAACATCAAACCAATTCTATCACCAAATTCATCAATATTATCTCAAAGGCCGCACCATAGCTTAAGCAGTTAGTTGCTGGCTTCCCACCACTGCGGTCTAGTCAAGTGGGATTTGTGATGGACAAAGTGGTGCTGGGGCAGGTTTTCCCCAAGTACTTCGGTTTCCCCTGCCAATCCTCATTCCATCAAATTCTCCATAAGCATTATCACCAGTACAGGTACAACAGGACATAAGGAAGCCGATGTGCTAAGTGGACCTAATATGGATTCCACCTCACACTATTGAAATCTTAACTATTATAATCTACTGTAAACAATTTTAAGTATTGTAACTTTATTCTCTTATTGTAATCAGCCAATCTACAGTAACTGACTTGTCTTATATCATGTAACAATGATCTATAGAGACGAATATACTATACTATACCCACATTTTGTTCACCCATCTTGCACTTCTTGATTATACCTGTGAAAAAAGAATATTTGACATTCAGTTTGGTCAGAAGCTATGGTATTCTAGAGCCAGCCTTACCTATAACCATTCCCCAGGCATGCACATCGGATATCAGATTCATGGGGAACATACATTCATGATATAGAACATAAAAGAGTATGATGGGGAACCCAAAAAAAACGGAATTTGTTTATAAAAAAATACTGTATTTTTACATAAGAGAACTTTAATCCCTTTCGAAGTACTCTCCATTTGATTCAATGCACTTGTCCACACGTTTTTTCCATTACTGAAAACATTTTTTAAATTCATTGTTGGTGATGCCTTTTAGTGCTCCCGTTGTTTTTTCTTTACGTCTTCAACATCAGCAAAGCGTTTTCACTTGAGGTCTCTCTTCTTCAGAGGAAATAAAAAGTCGCACGGGGCAAGATCTTGGAGGGGGGGGGTGTTGAGGCAAGGGTGTCATACCATTTTTGGTCAAAAATCACTGCACACTGTGCTGTGTGGGCAGGCGCATTGTCATGATGAAAGAACCATTCAACTCTTTGCCACAAATCGCGACGTTTTCTCCTTAAANCTTCCAAATAATAATTCTGGTTTACTGTTTGACCCTGGGGTACAAACTCTGAATGCATGACGCCCCTGGAATCGAAGAAGCACAGGAGTACTGCTTTTACATTTGATTCACTTGTGCTTTTTTGGGACGTGGCTGGATTGATCTTTTGTCTCAGGATTGTAACCGTAGCACCAAAATTCGTCTCTAGTTATGACCTTGGAAAACAAATCAGGATCGCTTTCCAAGTGCCCCTTAAACCCTTAAAGCACGGCATGCAGCCCGCAGATCGTCTCTCTGATCAGGGGTGGGCAGGCGAGGAACAAACTTTGCTACAAGTCGTTTCATGTGCAATTCTTCAGTTAAAATTCACTGGCAGGAACTCCATGCGATTCAAGTACGGTCCTCAGGTTCGTCAGTCTTCCGCCGGCGATCTTCCAGAATTATTTTACGATTTTTTTTACTTTTCATCAGTTCGGGCGGTCGAAGGACGTCCACTTCGAGGCTGATCATCAGTTGACATTTCACCACGTTTGAAACTGGAGAACCATTCGTAAATTTGTGTTTTACTCATGGCGACTTCCTTCTAGGCTATTTGTGGCATAACAACCGTTTCTGCTACTGTTTTCCCCAAAAGGAACAAAACTTCACGGCAGCATGTTGTTCATGTGAACCACACATTAAAAAATATACGAATTATAAAAATTCACTCTGAAAAAATCATCACATACTTGCACTCCTCCACTGACGAAGCCAGGCGGCAAACAGTAAACACCTGTGTAAGACAGCGGGAATACGCAGAGGAAACTGGGATAGAAGAAAGGGGAAAATGCAGAGCAGCCAACTTAATTAGATAATCTTGAAAGGTCTGGAAGCAATCATAATACACCTACACTTTTCGAATCGCATAACTGTGAATGGGCTATTCAGGAGAGATTGCACATGCCAAGAAGCTGCACCAGGAAGGGAGAACAGATGTAATGAGATGCTGCAGTGTAGAGTCTACAGTGAAACGTTATACCAGTGCTATCACCAAATTCACCAACATTATCCCAAAGGCCGCGCCATAGCTTAGGCGGTTAGTCGCTGGCTTCCCACCGCTGCGGTCTAGTGAAGTGGGATTTGTGATGGACAAAGTGGCGCTGGGGCAGGTTTTCCCCGAGTACTTCGGTTTCCCCTGCCAATCCTCATTCCATCAAATTCTCTATAAGCATTATCACCAGTACAGGTACAATAGGACATATGGAAGCAGACGTGCCGAGGGGACCTAATGTGGATTCCACCTCATACTATGTGAAATCTTAACTCTTGTAAACAATTTTAAGTATTGTAACTTTATTCTCTTATTGTAATCAGCCAATGTACAGTAACTGACTTGTCCTATATCATGTAACAATGATCTATAGAGACGAAATAAATAAATAAATAGAACATGATAGTGAAGTAAAGTAAAGGTATTCCAGTTCCCACCTCATGACTCAAGGTAGCCAGGTTCAAACTCGGCGGAGGTCGTGGAATTTTTAAGGGCGGAAAACTTCAGGGAACAGGTACTCCGGGAGGGACTTGAAGCCGTATGTCACGTGTCGTAGATTTACGGCACGCAAAATATACTCATGTCTCTAGGAGACCTTTGAGCTCTGAGCAAGTAGTTTCCAATTCCTCCGCTAGATGGGGAAGAATCGAGGACCACTACCGGAGAGGACCGACCGGGACCGACCTCGCAGAACCGGGCACAATTGATCAATAGATGGTTGCAGTGCGTGGGGAAACCCACTCCTCTAATAATAATAATAATAATAATAATAATAATAATCCCTGTGAGATGTTGAGGTTTCCACATTTTCTAGAAAATCTGCTCTTGGATGGCGTTGTCATTACTGTTTGGGGCACGCGGTAGCGTAGCCGGAAGGTCGCGGGTTCAAGTCCCGATGAGGTCATTGGATTTTTTCATTTTACTTTACTCATTACTGTTATAGGCTGAGTCTACCCCAGGGCCATAGTGGGGATTCGAACCCACGTTCCCAGCGTTCGAAGACAGTTCATGCCATAGACCGCGCGGAAGGAACCAGATGGCGCCTACCCAATTTTCCGACACTGTATATTGTATGACCTGCAGTTTACAGTCTTGAAATATGTAACTTTTTGGGGGGCTGTTCTACGGCTATCAGTATCTATACTATACAGCTTCGAAGGCGTCGAATGCAGGATGGCTGATGATAATAAAATGGAAACTATTTGGAAGGCAGCCGTGACTGCATTTGCCTGCAGAGGACTGACGGAAACCACGAAAACCCTAACAAGCGCTAACAGGATAGCCCGTTACAAACTGAGATTCGAACCGAACGCATCCGGAGTGCAAGTCTTCAACATCACAGCGATTACAGCTACGCTAACCCGTTATGTGAAGCACGTATCTTACATACCGTATGCAGTTTCAATTAATATATTATTTTGAAACACAAATGCAATGGTAATTTTCGTTCATGACAGCACTCCCATAGCATCAATTTCCTAATCATTCGCCATTTAACACGGCACAACATAATGCTGTGTTGGAGCAACACTGCATATCTGTCCTCCTTCCCTACCGTTCCCTACATTTATGGACATTAAAATGTAATGGTTATATGCTAATTTTCTATTGCAGTGTAGTGCAGCCAGTCTCTACATTTGAGCATAAGAACGCATATTGGTGCTTTAAATAAATTCAGCTGCCTACCTATAATAGAAAGGTCATGTATAATGTATGATCCGTGTTGGCATGACTGGTGACCAGTGACGTACATATTGGTTAGGTTATTGAATACATGTCCGTGTGGAAATTCCGAGGCTTGGTATATGTGTAGACGAAGTTTAAACTGACATCGAGGTAAAGGTTCTAATCCATTTATCAGTTCATGGTTATGACTTGGAAAGAAATAACGTCGATTTACTGAGTAAATTATAATTTCTTATTTACGTGTTTCGAACTTAAAGATTATGTGTATTATAGCTGTTGTCAAATTTTTGTTACGGTTGTTTTTGCACGTACCCATTCATTGTGTAAATGTGAATGTTCATAAGTACCCGGGTATATTTCCAAGTGTGGTATTCTAGGTACTATGTAGACAATATCTGGAATATGGCGCCGTGTAGTCCGGTTAGGTTAGGTTAAAGGTTCCGTTTCCGTCTTCTGGGATGTAACGCCACGTAGTCTAGGGTGAGTTCAGCAGTGTTTTGGAGAAATGTATAGCCAGCATCTAACAAAATAGAGGCAGTGTGTTCCTCTGAAACGTCGGTGAACATATGCCGGACTACACGGCGTCTCATCCCGTAAGATAGTACGCTTTTTCGTCACTTAAATTGGCAGTGTGACATGAATAGTGATTCTGAGTGATATGCAGTCACTATAAGTTTATCACATCCTCACCCCAATGGAATCTTTGTTTGAGAGGCCACCATCCATATCAACCTACCAGTAAAACTTGATCAGTTGTTCCTCCACTCTGACCCAGAAGACAGAAGGAGCAATTGTCTTTGTTGTCACCTACAAGACTACATGGTATCACAACCCAGAGGATCACAGTCTGAATACTTACCACCATGGAGTATTCAAATCTTATATGTGTATACCTCATTTAAATTTATGGAAAGCCAAAATTTATGAAACCAATAACATTCAGGGATAGTATATTCCACAAATTGGTGAAACTGACTACTTTGATTCCCCTGACTTCCTTCTACTGCCTGCTGGTTCACTTTGAGCTGTTATTTTACCCAATTACTGTGCCAGTTTTCTCTACTCCTGTTGGTTTAGTCAGACCTTAGTTTGTGGCCCCTCTATTTTCACATCTGACTTACTTTTCCATCCTGAAGATGGAGGCAGCATGTTTCTCCAAAACATTGGTAATAATCTACCAGACTACCCAGTGCCACATCCCAGTAAATGGATATTTTCATAGTGACTACTGTGATGACAGCTCTTCCATTGAAGAATATTATTAAAACATGTCTTAGGGAAATAGGGTTTGCAGAAGTGGAGTGGATTTAGACCGCTTAAGATAAGAAGGCTCTTGTGAACATGGTAAGAAATCTTAGGGTTCTGTGAAGGACAGGGAAGTTCTTGACCAGCTGAATGAATATTAGCTCATGAGTAACTGTTCTCCATGTAACTTTCCCACCTCATGACTTGTAGTATGTGGGTTCAAACCCAGCAGAGGTCATGGAATTTTTAAGGGCAGAAAAATTCAGGGAACAAGTCCTCTGGGAGGGACTTTAAGCCGTGGGTCCCGTGTCATCGCTTTACGGCATGTAAAAGAACCTCATGTCTCCTAAGGAGGTCACTGAGCAAAATTCAAGGTCATTTCCCACCCAACAGTAGTCTCTAACGCCTCTGATAGATGGGGGAAGCATTATAGATACCGCTAAGCCAGTAGAGGCTGAACTCGCTGGTTTGGTCGGGACTGATGGTAAGCACCAGTATCTGTATGGTATAGAGACTGGTAGAATATCATGAAGGGAAGCAAAATGGACCAATACTGGTCTAAGTGCATGGAGAAACCCACCCTCTCCAATAACTAACCAACTAACTGTGCTCCATGGATTTTAACGGGATCTGTTACTGCAGCTGAATTTTATTTGAAATGTGAGTGTTTCACTGAGAATATAAGTGGTTTCTTCATTTTTTCTGCTTTAATTGTTTCAGAACTAGTGATGGCTGACAGAACAAGTAATTGGTCTGATATGTATGCAGAGATTAAGAAGAATCATGATGAAGCCTACTTTGTGATTGATAAGGCAATAAAATTAGAACAAGAAGGAAACCAAAATGAAGTATGTTGATACAGTTTGAGAACAGCCATATGTAATCAAAACTGGATTTATCAAGAAATTGAAGCCAGGTTAAAATCTGTGAATGCTTGCTACTCTAAGTACTGAATCTTCTGCTTTCTTTAATTTGCCCTCTTATTTTGTATATGTGTGAAACATGTCTACCATAAGACCATAGATGGAAGGTATTTGTGAACAGGTCTGGGGAGATTATTTGAACTACAGAGAGAGAAATTTGCAGAAGGATTACTTAATTAGGGGCTTCATAATTGTACAGTTTTCTAAGTATTGTCACTGGTATGAGTGACTGTAGACAGGGTTTAAATTGGTAATTGGATTTATTGAACTATTACAGATAATAACTACAAGTTAATGTATTGCTATCATAAATTCACACATTCTGCAGTTCGCTACAGCAGGTACTAAGTCTTCTCAGTCTGCTGTATCTTCACCAGTTGTCACCTGGTAATGGCTTCCAGTGCCGTAGCTTCCTCAGCTTCCGTGTTCACATTGCTACTGCCCGGGGACTGTCTCACAGCTAACTAAACATCTTGGCATGGACCACACATAAAATGCCATTCCTCTGTTGCTGTTTCCAGTGCAAACCCAATAATCAGTAACAGCTGTTGTATTCTTGATTTTCTCATGCATTGTGGACCAGTGATTGAGGCTAGCTCTTTCTAGAAATTTTTTCTTCTAATGCTAGTGGGGTGGGACTAAGTCCCTTGTACTGCAGCCACTTCTGGCCTCTTGCACCAGACCCAGATGATAGGCGAGGGTGATTGTGGAGCAAATGGTGGAATGAAGATTGGCAGGGGAAACTGAAGTACTTGGAGAAAACCTGCCCCAGTGCCACTTTGTCTGCCACAAATCCCACTTGACCAGACCCAGGATCAAACCCGGGCTGCCACAGTGGGAAGCCAGTGACTAACCGCTTGGGCTATGGCACGGCCAAACTTGAAGGTAACAGATCTCTTAGAAGACGTAGACAGAGGTGGGATAATATTATGTTTTTAGTGACTATAGATGTTGCTTTGGATTGGCAAATCAGTTTATTGACCACTCACTGGTAGTAACTGCATGTAATTGTAACACATAAATAAAGTCCTCTATATCCGATCTCAACAATGGCTAAGCCTTGACAAAGTTTTCACTATCCATTTCCTGTCAATGGATTTTACCAGGAACTATAAGTCTCAATCACACACTCCCAAAATCACTCATTACAGCACACACATAGTCTTCAGATCACCTGTTAAGTCTCCACAGGCTGACTTCTAATTCTTCTGCAACTACGAACTTCCTATCCCTAACTTCAACTCTCCAGTCTAATTGTGAAAGTTGCATTGTATCATCAGATGTCTTCAAGATAACTTCTTGGCACAGACGACGCACAGAAAACACATGTCACATGTCTACTGTCTCACCAGTCCATTGGCATGCTGGCTGGTCCCACAGAAAACATGTGACTGCCACCCAGCCAGCTCATTGACACGCTGACCATTGCCTAGCAATACGAGGGGGGACCCAAAAATAACTGGAAGCGACCTGTTGCGCGCGCATGCTTTGTAGTTACGAGTTGTGCTGCTAGGTGGTGTTAGCTGGGGGTCTCCCACGACTGTTAGTGAGCTGGCGTCAGTCTGAGTTAAGTGGTTTGTCTGTGGTGCTCTGTTGTGTGCGTTCCTGTTTCAACCCTTTGGCGATTAGTGAGATGGCCGACCAGAAGGAACAAAGAGTGTGCGTGAAATTTTGCTTTCTGTTAGGGAAAACTGCACTTCACTNCCACCTAGCAGTACAACTCGTAACTACAAAGCATGCGAGCGCAACAGGTTGTTTCCGGTTATTTTTGGGTCCCCCTTCGTAAGCTATAACATTCATTCTGTTATTGTGTGTGAATATCGCAGGGTGTTATTGAGCCATTGCTTAACAGTACTTTGAGCAAATCTGTTACAGTGCTCCTTAAGGCTGTTCATCCCAAATGGTCTGTTGGTACACCGCTTTTCATTCTTCTAAGGGCTGCACTTGATTTGATCTCACCTTCCTTCCCATTACCTTTTTTCTTTATGCTGTGATTACTCTCCAGCTGCTACCACTGCTCTGTCCTTAAGGTTGCTTGTTCCAAGCAGTTCCCTTATAAGGCTCCAGTTAGTCCAGGTTGTCACCATCATCCAAAGGTTTTTTCTTTCCTCATTGCTAGTAGTGCTGTTAGGTTCTTCCATTCTGGAGCGGGTTGACCCCTCCACAAGATCCAGTTCAGCAACCTGCTGGAAATCCCTACTGTTCGCTTCATGATCTCCAACCTAATGGTCTTGCTGTAGGTTCTGCTGGTTTTCCTCTTGCATCCCAGCCGTAGCTGCTCCAAGAAGTTTTGGTTTCTCGTTCCATTGGTGCCTTCCTGGTGCATCAGTTATCTGAGTGTTCTTCCTTTCCTGGTATGTCTTGCAAATTTATTCCTGGTCTGAGATTTCTGTCATCCCAGTTTGATGGACTGTCCTTCATGACTGCATCCCCGAAGCCTGTGTCCCTTGTGCTGTACCACTTTCCACAGTGGGTCATCTTCCTGCCAGCTATGGCCAAGTCTCTCCACAGTCCATAACTTTCCTGGGTTCTAATTTTCTTGAAGATATTTCCCTTGCACCAAGCCACTGCTGCATGACAGGGCACTTTCCTGCAGGTGGCAGCCAACTTCCGTGATCAAAATCTCCTTGGGTCAGTTAATATGGCTCTCTGTGTCACCCTGCAGCTAGATGCCAGCCGCTATGCCACTTCTTCCTTGTTCCTGAAGAGATCACTGCCCTCTTCCATAGGGACCTGCCAGTGTTCCACATCACATTCAATGTCTTCTGAATATAGCTCCTTACTAAGCAGACACACCTCCATCATTGTCTCTTTTTGTTCATCCCTTGTGTTTGCTATTGAGGCATTAACTATGGATTTAATTTCTGCTTCTCCAGATTTGATTTCATATCTCATTTCCAATAGATTTACATTCATCATTTCCTTTATATCTTCTGTTTGTCTTTTCTGTTGGTGTTGATCTTGGCCAGCATTCCTTGAATGTGTTCTCATTTCTTCCCTGTTGGCTTCCATTTTGTCCAGCATTTTTGCTTGGTTGGCATTTGCACGGTTTATATATCTTTTTGGGGTGAATTCAACCTGGCCAACATCTGTTCCATCATTTGCTCCATTTTCATAGTGGGGCACTGTAATTGTGCAATTCAATATTTACTCCGGTAATATGGTCTGTGCTTCACGGTGACCAGTGCACAGTCGTCTGCGATGCTCATGCAAATTATTCTGATGAATCAGTATTCCTCATGGCTGATAACGTTTGAAATTAAGGGAAGTTAATAAATTTTTGGACTGCTTGACAGCATTATGTTTCAGGGCAAGCAGTGCAGCTCATGTGTGGGAATTTGTTTATGATATAGTAGCAGAGAATTTCAGTTTTTAGCTCCACTGGCCATTTGTTCTCGATTACAATTAGCGAGCAATGTATTCTGTCATGGTGCAGTATACTTAGAGGAATGTTCATATCTGTATGACTCCTGTGTGAAATAGGGATTTGCTAGAACGTGTTGGCAAAAATTTTGATATAAATTTTGCGATGAAAGAGTTCCCAGCAGACAAACAATTCAAAATTTTATGAGTAAACTTAGGTCAGCTGGACTCTTATTAGATAAACAAAAACATAAGCACAGAGTGCTTACTGAAGAAAAAGTTAAATGACTTAGGAGCCAGACTTGAACATATGCCTAGAAAATCATTGAAATGTCTAGCTCAAGAGACTGAGTGTCAGAGTGTAGTGCAAGAATGGTAACACAATTGCTGAAGCTTAGGCCCTGTAAAGCAACGGTAATTGACGCCTTGCAGCCACACATTCAGCTAGCAGGGTTCGTTTTCAAAGTTGGTTTCTATGGTCTGTCATTGAAGGTGAGATCAAGCTGCAGCAGACAGGGACAGCATTTTCAGTACTTCCTGCGATCGGTAAATTGTAACTACTTCATTCTGAACATTATCGGCTAACAGACATGTTGATTCGCGATCAGATTTGTGTTTCACAGCGAGCAGTGCATGGGTCCCCATGAAATGCAGAGTCATATACCAGTTGGCAAAGGTGAGAAACTCCCTGTGCATATAGATAAGACTTAATGTTTAATGCTACATATATTGTTTTCTGCAGGCATATTTAAAGTATGAAAGTGGCCTGTTGCTGATCGACAAGGCATTAAGTATTCCTATTGAATGCCCTTCAAGTCCTGATTTGACATGGGAGAAAGCTTCTGTAATGCTGCAGAAAATGAAGAAAACAAAGTAAGAAAATCTCTAATAACATTGTAACTGTACGTCCCTCGCCAAAATTATTCAGTTAAGGGTGTTAACTACTTATGCATTGTTTAACACCATGAGAGACGCTCCTCCGGCAAGATATCATCCCTGGACCATCTAGTTGTAATTCATCTTTTGTCGTCCTTAGGCCTAGGGTGTCGCTATTGTCCCTAACGTCGCCAGTTTACTCCCAGTATCATAAACCCAGGAATATACCTTGTGCAAGACCAGCCAGGAGGGGTCTTGAGTTCCCTGCTCGTGTGCCTTGAAGCCCTAAACAGATTTATGGGATTCTCTAAAAATGTAGGACAGAGGCCAGGCTTGACTCTTCGCTTTCTCTTTTTATTTTCTCGTTTTTTATGCCAACTGGGGGACTGGTAAAGAGAGGGCAGTCAGTTATAGGGAGTGGAGGAGGACAGTGGTTGAAAGGTAGACAGAGAACAGAGAAATGTTTTACAGTAGGGGTAGCGAGTAGGATGGACAGAGCGGCAAGCTTGGAGGACAATGCAAATATTGATCATTGAATGAATTTTAAATTAAAACTGCAATACTCGGTGTTCTGGAGATCCCTGATTGATTAACCCCGAAGTGTGTTCCACTCCCATCTCCAAAGCACCCGTATCCCTCAGATAAAGAACCCAAGCTTGAGCGAGAGTCGTGGCAGCTGTATGTTTAAGGGCGGCTACAACATCTGTTCGTGATATGATGTAAATGCTGATTTTTCCAACAACAACAATTGATGCATACTGACAAAGTAGTCAGAAGTCACATATGTGCCAGTACAATGTACATTTCAACCTTGACGCCAAAAGCAAATGTGAGAGTACCAAACATGCTTTGGGGGGGGGGGGAAGATAGAGCACCAATGCATATAACTCTAATGAAAAAGATGATTTGTGTACGTAACTTTTTGTTTATTTTCTTCCTACCCAAATCACCCATCCTGGATAAGGTTAAAAAAAGAATTATATTGTATTTTAGCATCCCATTGTACTGACTCACGTCCATGACGTGTATGTATTGACCATCTTCTAGTGCACACAATCTCACATGTCACTTCACTACTTCACTACATGTTTCGGCATCACTGTGCCATCCTCAGGTGTGTTATTTATGTTAAACTATTGCACTGCCCGCCATCATGTGTCGTTTATAAAATGATTCAAAATGTATGCTTGTGGCTGCGTGCATTGTATTGCTGGATGTGTGTGTGTGTGTGTGTGTCCAAAACATCAGTTGAATTTCAGTGGCCTACATGGCATTAAATCAAAGAAGATAGGAATTTTCGTAATCACTACTGTGAGAACTTGAAATCCTGAAATTATTTAAGTGTCTGTGTGCTATTGAAAATCTTTCTGTCCAAAATTTCAGAATCTGAACTGTAAACAAAGGTGAATTCCTTGAAATATAGTCAATGGGAATTTAGAATAATAGGGTCTAAATGGAATTTTATTTGAGCACCTTAGCTTGACAGAAGTCCTCATACCAGAGTGAATGGCCTCTTCAATAATGTCATTGAATGGGAGGGGAAGGGAGAAAGGAAGAAGGAAGCCAAAGGGAACCAAAAGCAAACTGGAAGACTAAAACCCGTGCATGGGGGAAAAGAGGCAGAGGAGACATAGATGAGATGTATGTGTGGCTCATGGTGTAGTTTAAATGAGATTTATAGTTGGCTATAGTAAATGATAAATTTTCTTTCCAGGAAAGAAGTACTTTGCAGGATTGCAGATGTCCAAGTAACACCAAAGCCACCTGTGGTTCCACCACCATCATACGAAGAAGCAGTGGCATGCCCGAGATCACCCATTGCTGGAGCATCTTCACAACCTTTATCGACATACTATGATTTGGGAGTAGCACTACAAGAACTGAAAGTTGAAACAGGAGCCAAGACAGCAGAATTAATTTATATCCAAGAAAAATGTGGACATCTACTTTATTTCTCCAGATGGCACTGTTAGTGCACCATCAGAACCAGAAACATTGCAAATTGTCCAACTAGAAGGTATGCAGTTCGTCTTTCAGTAACTTTTAAGTCATATATTAGAAACAGTTTGGCATTTGAGAACTGATGTTGCAGTCCCCCTCCAGATTGATAAAGTCTGGCATTTTAAAATGAGAATGAACTTAACTGAAATTAAATTAGTAGTGCGTAATACGAAGTGTGTTCAGGAAATAACGGGAATTTTAAAATTTCGCGGGTTTGGAGAGTCCAATTNTTAGGTATATAAAATTTCAAATGCAGGTCTGTGTTGAACTTAGCCCAATAGTCCAATGTCTTACTCTAAAAACATTAAAATTATGGAACTGCAGAAAATGATTAGTATGCTTGCTTCATATGCAGGAGGTTAGGAGACTGGCTACTCTTAATTTTTTTGTGTGCGTTGTTTTCTTCAATCCTTTCAGCCATCTTCTATCATATGAAGGATTTGATTATGAAAGCTTGCTGTTGAACTGTATTCTTCATTGCAAGGGTAACAAATTCAGACTTCAAGATGAGAAGCTCTGAGCAAGAACCTTCACATGCTGGGCCAGGACATGTAATCGGCTATTTGTTACACGCCGTGAATTTTGCAACAGGAATTCAAAATTCCTCATGTACAGCCATTGATAATATTTTTATAGATAGTACAAGATTAAGCCCTTCTTGTATATCTCCTATAGTTAATAGCCTCTCAGACTATGATACTCCATTCTTTACAATAAATAATATTACTACAAAAGTAAATTTAATACCCTTTGAACAGTGAAGGAAAAAGTAAATAATGAAACCATTGCTCAGCTTCTGCATCTGTTAGAAAATAAAATTTTGGAACTTGTTTTCACACATAAGGATATGAACTCTAAGTTTAACTTTTTTTTCTTCTATTTTTCTCTAATCACTTAACCATTAGCTCACATCTGTAATCATTCACTATTCGCAGGGATCTTCCCTGATCATCTTAAGATTTCAGTAGTACAAGAAAGTGGACAGTAAGCCGAACTACAGGCCAATTTCATTATTAACCACCCTCTCTGAAGTACTTAGAAAGTTATGTACAGTAGGTTATGCCATTATTTGCAGAATAATAATATAGTAGTCCCAGAACATTTTGGCTTCAGGGAATGAATATCCACTGAAAATGCAGCCTTTAAGCTAAGAGTATATTAAAATCCATTAATAAATAAAATGCATGTTTGGAATTTTTTTGTGATTTAGCAAAAACTTAAAGATTTTATTAACTAAATTACATTTTTTTGGCATTCAAGGAACAACAGCAAATTGTTTCAGATGCTGAGAGATAGAAAACAAAAGACTGAAATAAAATCATTGAATTTAACCCAAAATACCTGCTTAGGCTTGGTAACAATAAAGCATGGAGCTCCCCATGGGTCAATTTTAGGGCCTCTGCTTTCCCTGATCTATATAAATAACCTCCTTGCACTAAATACCTCATCAGTACCCATAGTATTGGCTGATGACACTAGTTTCATAATTTCTATTAAAAATTTAGATGATTTCTACATAATATCAAAGTTCTCTCTCAAATGAGTAAATGGTTTTCTGCAAAGAAGCTGCTCCTGAATATACATAAAACAAATGTAATAAAATATAACAAAAAACCACCACAGTATCCATTAGACACTGAATATAATCTATATAAATAAAAATGTAAATGTTGGTTTGTTAGCCCTCGAAGATCTCCGAAAGTTCTTCACAGATTGCTTTGAAATTTTGACACAACATTGCATTCGAGCACGCGCGTGTTTTTATATACCCATTATATAGATGTCACACCTGTGACAGGTAAAAACATGCATCTTTTGAAAACCGGAATTGGAATTTGGAATTCAGAAGAGTGACCCCTATGAAAACGCTAGAACAGACCGATGCATAGGAAGTAACAATAGCGATACTGTATTGAATCTCCATGGTTACGACGAATACACGGAGCGTTCCCACAGAGACAACGCAGTAACAATGGGTCATTGCGTAGGAATCGCGGAATCAGCAAAGCAGCACATGGCTGAAGATATTTCATTGAAAATCCCACGTGCAACATTTCCAAAGGATCAGGCATGGGAAAGGTATTGCAGAAATGCAAACTTATTGTTTGGGATGAATGCACAATGGCACACAAAAAATCGCTCAAGGCTCTTGATTGATCATTGCAAGATTTGCGTAGAAACATCAGACCATTTGGGAACGCATTAATATTCCCTGCAGGGGATTTCAGGCAAACATTACCTGTAATTCCTCGATCGACACCAGCGGACGAAATAAATGCTTGCCTGAAATGCTCTACTTTGTGGCGACACATAAAGACGTTAAAGTTAACTACAAATATGCGTGTCCAGCTGCAAAATGATCCATCAGCTGAGATATTCTCACATCAATTGCTGGAAATTGGGAATGGGAAGGTGCCGGTTGATCTGACCTCAGGACGAATTTCAGTGCCTCATAACTTCTGCAATTTAGTGACATCAAAGGAGGAATTGGTTGAAAAAGTATTTCCCAATGTTGAAACCAATTATAAGAATCACGATTGGCTGAGTGAACGAGCTATTCTTGCGGCCAAGAACAAACACGTCTATGAACGTAACAATATCATTCAGTCTAACATTCAATGCGAGGCAGTCACATACAACTCCGTCGACACTGTTGTGGAAGCAGATGAAGCGGTTAATTATCCAACAGAATTTTTGAATTCACTCGATCTGCCACAGCAACGCGTGGTCGGGTACAGCTAGTAATAAATATAAAAGAGGAAGTATACACAAAATTCCTCTGCTTACAAATTGATAAAGTAAAAAAAAAAGTAAAGGTATCCCTGTAAAGGCCCATAAGGTTGTGAGATGTTGAGGTTCCACATTTTCTAGACAGTCAGCTCATAGATGGGTGTAAGGTTCTCAGCTTTATTAGCTGTCTGCCCTTTTTCCCCAAGAATATTCCAAAAATATTCCTGATACTCATTTCTGTTAGAGGCTGAGTCAACCCCAAGGCCATAGTGTGGCTGGAAGGATTAGGTCAATTGAAAAAATCCAATGACCTCATTGGGACTTGAACCTGTTACCTTCTGGATTGTAGCATAGTGCCTCTTCAAACTACACAACCACATGCCCCTCGGCTTACAAATTGATAGTCATTGAATGTGGTAAAACCATATCGATCAGTTGGTTCCAAAGCTAAGTGCAGCATGTTATGTAGTTAGATCTGTGTTGCATGTGAGCAACACTGACTCTCAAATCAGTTTATTTTGTTTACTTTCACTCTTCAATGAAGTATGGGATAATTTTCTGGGGTAATTCCTCTGATAGTAAAAAGGTATTTACATTGCAAAGGAAAATTGTTAGACTCATGATGGTTGTCAATTCCCATAATTCTTTTAGAGCTCTATTTAAGAGACTACAGATCATAACTCTTCCGTGTGAATATATATTTTCATTAATAAACTTCATTACATATAACTAAGAACATTTTGAGACCCATGCAGATGTACACAGTGTGAACGCAAGACACAAATACTCTCTCCATAAAACAGCTACTAACATGTCATGATTTCAGAGAAGCACATGTTATGTGGGAATGAGAGTGTCAATAATCTGCCCTCTGGTCTCTAAAGTCTTATGAATGAAAAAGCAAAATTTAAAATGACACTAAAATGATACTTCCATTCTGTGTATGTATTGTGACATGGATGGCGTGGTGGGAGGTGGGGGTCGCATGAACTCTGTGGTCTCGCAAGTGACGTGGCAGAGGAGCGGCTGTGTCAGGCAACCATTGCCACGGTGACATAACAAGGGATACTGCAGTTACTACACAGCATCTCAACAGCGTCACTAGCAACACCTGTAAACACGGCAACTTTGCAACAGGGAAGTGAGACGTTTTCCGTTGTTTGGCTGAGGGTTTATAAGAGAACTGCACAGCCTAAGGAGTAGATGCCCGTGTAAAGGCAGGGTCGAATACCTCCACCGTGACCCTGCAAGTCGTAGGAGGCAATGAAAAGGAAAGTCTCAAATCTGAGACAGTAAAATATGGTCGCGAGTCCCAAGAGACTCGGACCTGAGAAAGATCGCGCTGGTAAGGGCCAGCAGTGTATGCAAAAGGCAGCCCCATCCTCTCGTCAGAGAGGGCACCCCACAAAAATAAGACCGTAATTGTCAAACAGTAATAATTAATATGTGGTCGTGAACCCTAGATGGGGCTCGACACGAAGACTTACTGACTGACCAACCGTCAGTCGCAATATGACTTTGACTTTGACTTAAGAAGTAGAGTTGAAATATAGCAGCAGTCTTGGAAAGAAGAACCGAATGCGTGGTTAGAAGTTTTTATAGTGCGCAATAATTTAGAATTCAGCCAGTGAAGACGTATTGTGCGACTTCAAGATTTTATGTGTGCTGTAGTACAGTTATATTTGGAGTGTGTAATTCACAGAGACTTGTACAGCTCCTGTGTTATAAATACATCAAGACTACTGAGGATAGACTGAATGGAATAGTGTGCAGGGTTTGTAAAGTGTAAACCCGTAACACTGGTATAATTATTTGTAGTTACGATTTGTAGGTTGTTAAATCAATTAACAATCCGAATGGCATCCTCAGTGGCAAAACACGTTGCAGTATACAGGGTGTCCCAGGAGGAATGTGCCAAACTTCGGGAGGGTGTTCCTTATGTTAAAGTATGCCGATATAACCCAAAACACCTATGTCCAAAGTTGAACGGTTACGGAGATAATGGCCAGAGAAGTGTCAAACTTTGACCGGGGTTACACACTTGTTGATTACAAAATAGATATTAAAACTGGCAGGAATATGTGGA